AACTGGGCAACGGAACAACAATGGCATAATTGCAATATAGTGAATGTTTCCTTCGTTCAAGCATACGACAAATGGCAAATTAATTGTTAATCAAGCTTGTACAAGAAGAGGTTCTGGGAATTCCCCGGTGGTCCAGTGACTAAGACACTGCACTTGCACTGCATGGGGGTGCAGGTTCGATCCCTGGTTGGGGAACTAAGATCCTGCATGCTTCATGCTGCGACAAAAAAAAAAAAAAGTCCTATAAATCCTGCTTTAATAAACAGTTTTCAGTTACCAATGTGTTTTCTTTTATGCATGAAAACTGAACTAGAATGGTTCTTTAAAGTGGAAGCACTGACAGATTGTATTTTCTTGGGCTCCAGAATCACTGTGGATGCTTACTGCAGCCATGAAATTAAAAGACACTTGCTCCCTGGAAGGAAAGTTATGACAAAACTAGACAGTGTATTAAAAAACAGAGACATCACTTTACTGACAAAGGTCCATATAGTCAAATCTATGGTTTTCCAGTAGTCAAGCACGGGTATGAGGGTTGGACCATAAAGAAGGCTGCGTTCTGAATAACTGATGCTTTTGAACTGTGGTGCTAGAGAAGGCAGATTCTTGAGAGTCCCTTGGACAACAAGAAGATCAAATCAGTCAGTCCTAAAGGAAATCAGTACTGAATATTCAGTGAGCCAACTCACTGGAAAAGATCCTGATGCTGGGAAAGATTGAAGGCAGGAGGAGAAGGGGGCAGAGGATGTGATGGTTGGATGGCATCACCAACTCAATGGACAAGAGTTTGAACAAACTCAAGGAGATGGTGAAGGACAGGGAAGCCTGGCATGCTTCAGTCCATGGGGTCACAAACAGTTGGACATGACTCAACAACTAAACAACAACAATGGTTCTTTAAGAGCTAGTTTTCTTTAGAGGACTTCCCATTCTTCCTTAAAAACTGACAACCATGGCACATCAAGTCCAAGTGTAAATGTGAATTCCAGAGAGACCCAGCCAAATGTAATTCCGCAGGGCCTCACCAAGACCTTGGCTCACTCTCTTCCCTCCTGGGAACCTTGACCTGGGCATCCCTCCTTATCTGCAGAGTCACATGTTTGCAGCAACTGGGCTTAGGAGTAAAGATCAGTGAGTCCCTGTAAACTAAGCAAAGTACAAGTATTATGCTTCATTTTCAAACAAGACGTGAGTCAAGAGCATGAGGAGTGACCCAGTCTGAGCCCCACTCCTCAGAACAACATGATTGAGGCTGCAGAGGGAGAGGCTGCAGCTGTTATAACTTGGAGCCATGCGTCACCTGACCTCAAATTAAACCAAATATAGAATAATTGAAAGTGAAAGTATTAGTTGCTCAGTCATGTCCAACTCTTTGTGACCCCATGGACTGTAGCCTGCCAGGCTCCTCTGTGCATGGAATTTTCCAGGCCAGAATACTGGAATGGGTTGCCATTCCCTTCTCCAGGGGATCTTCCTAACCCAAGTATTGAACCCAGGTCTCCTGCATTGCAGAATGATTGTTTACCGTCTGAGCCATATATATCAGGATATATAACACATCTTATAACACATTATTGTATTCTATTTGTGAAAATTTTAAAATAATTTTTGTATCTATGTTTATGAGGGTATCAGTCTGTAGTTTTCTGTCTCTAGTTTGGTTTTGGTATCAGAGAAATGATGGTTTCTAAAATGAGGAATGTATTCCTTTCTCTTAATTTTCTGGAAGAGTTCATATCAAATTGGTATTATTTCTTCCTAAAATGTTTGGTAGAATTCACCAGTAAGTCCATTTGGGCCTTGAGTTTCCTTTGTGAGAAGGTGTTTTTGTTTTTAAATTTTATTTATTCATTTATTGCTGTGCTGGGTCTTCACTACTTTGTGCGGGCTATTCTCTAGTTGCAGGAAGTGGGAGCTACTCTTCATTGCGAAGCTTGGGTTTCACATTGCGATTGCTTCTCTTGTTGTGGAGCACAGGCTCTAGGATGCTCGGGCTTCAGCAGTTGCAACACACAGGCTCAGTAATTGTGGCTCACAGGCTCTAGAGTGAGGGCTCAGTAGTTCTGGTGCATAGATTTAGTTGCTCCATGGCATGTTGAATCTTCCTGGACCAGGGATCGAACCCGTGTCCCTGGAACAGGGATTGAATCCACGTGCATTGGCAAGTGGATTCTTATCCACTACACCACCAGAAATGTCCTGAGGGAAGGATTTTAACTACAAGTTCAATTTCTTTAGTTGATGGAGATACAGATAATCTATTTCAGATTGAGAAACATTTAGTACTTAGTATCTTTTAAGGAGCCTATTTCATCTAATTCAGTTCAATTCAGTCACTCAGTTGTGTCCGACTCTTTGCAAACCCATGGGCTGCAACACACCAGGCCTCCCTCTCCATCGCCAACTCCCAGAGCTTGCTCAAACTTTCGTCCATTGAGTCAGTGATGCCATCCAACCATTTCATCCTCTGTTGTCCCCTTCTCCTGCCTTCAATTTTTCCCAGCATCGGGCTCTTTTCCAATGAGTCAGTTCCTCGCATCAAGTGGCCAAAGTATTGGAGTTTCAGGTTCAGCATTAGTTCTAACAATGAATATTCAGGACTGATTTCATTTAGGATTGACTGGTTTGATCTCCTTGCAGTCCAAAGGACTCTCAAGAGTCTTCTCCAACACCACAGTTCAACTAAGCTACCAAATTAATGGCACAGAACTGTTCATAATATTCCCTTCTTACCCTGTCTCCTTGCTGTATTCTATCGGCTAGCAGTGAGTCAGCTTTGTTCAGGCCCAGACTATATTCGCACTCCAACGACGAATGCATCAGACTGTCTTCTGTTTTACTCCAGAGGCAGCTAGTGTTGGACGACCCTGGGATCGTTCACCAACATTGTGATAGGTGTCTCTTTTACGGTCTTGTTCTTGCACCACTAACTGGGCCCAACACCATAAGACCTGGGCTTCCCTTTCAGGACGGGCTTATCTGTGGGTCGTGGGAAACGCTGGAGAAGACCTCTAGATGTGGGTATGTGATCTAGGAGGGAGGGATCATCATTTGGGGCTGGGGGGGAGTTCTGGTGAGCTCCTGGAATTCCTGCATGGAGTACCTGGGCTGGACGAGCCATAGCACCAGCTGGGGCCACATCTTGAACCTCCTGGACATTCCGTCACTGTCACAGGGCATTGAACACATCCTTGTAAAGAGAGTGAGGCCTGGGGAGGTGGGGGGAAGGGTTCTATGATGAGCATGCAGGGGGATTCAGCTGGCAGACAGGCTATAATAGTAACCATAGATATAATCTCTGGGCTTCCCCGGTGGTCCAGTGGTTGAGAGTCTGCCTTCCAATTCAGGGCACACTGGTTCAATCCCTGGTCCGGGAAGATCCCACATGCCTCAGAGCAACTAGGCCCGTGTGCCATGGCTGCTGAGCTCACTCACCTAGAGCCTGCGCTCTGCAACGAGAGATGCCACCACAATGAGAAGCCTGCGCACCTCAACTGGAGAGTAGCCCCCGTTCTCAGCAACTAGAGAAAGCCCTTGAGCAGCCATGAAGACCCAGCACAACCAATAAATAAATAAATAAAAGTTTTTAAAATTACTTATGCTTAAAAAAAATAGCCCCTGACATTAGTAAAATGCTTCTGAACTTACCTAGCATTTCTACCTGGTTTATATGAGGCAAGAATGATCAGCCTTAACTCAAGAGATGCACAGACTGAAGCCAAACAAGATTAACCTTCCTGATTAAGGGCCAGAATAGGTAAAAATGTTGGCCCCCCCACCAAAAGGTCCTAAGGTGGTTTTTAATGATTTTGGCACATTTTTTGGCATGCCTCTGTTCAAAAGTTGCAGTCTGAGTCCACCCACCCTCAGGGTGGGCTGGAATTAGTGATGAGTTTCTAAAGAACAGAATGTGGCAGAACTGATGCTATCTATGTCTGAACACAGGGGTGTGAGTGTGCCTACAATTTTGTTTCTCTCCTCCCACCCACAGGAATCCAGTTACCAAATATGAGGAAGCCAAGATCATGCGTCAGTTTCAGCTAGCATTAACCATCAGAAATGCAAGTGAACAAATCCTGCAATATGTAATGCTGACCCGGGTTAGCTGCGTGAACCACAGACACACAGAGAGAAGAAGCCACCCAAGAAAGGCAATGGAATCTAGAGCCTTGCATCTGGTTCTTCGATTCTCTGACTGAATTCTGAGGAATTCTCTAAATTCTGATTGAATTCTCTAAATTCTCAAAATTTTTAAAACTTTGATCAGGATTTAGGCCTCCATATCAAACACTGAACTCGAAAAGTTATACTTTAAAAAAGTGAGTCCAGAACTTCCCTTGTTGGTTCAGTGGATGGGAATCTGCTTGCCAATGAAGACACAAGTTCAATCCCTGGTCCAGCAGGATTCCACATGTTCCATGCACCACAACTACGGAGCCTGAGCTCTAGAGCCTGTGCTCTGAAAAGAGAGAAGCCACCACAATGAGAAGCCCACTCACAATAGCAAAGAGTAGTCCCCACTCACCACCACCACCACCACAACAACAATAAAGAATACCGCACAAAGTGAGGAAGACCCAACACAGCCAAAAAGAAAAAAAAAATTCATCCATCACTTGTTTTTTAAAAATTTATTTGTTAATATTTATTTATTTGGCTGCAATGGATCTTAGTTTCAACATTCGGGATCTTTAGGTGAGGCATGCGATCTCTTAGCTGCAGTATGTGGGATCTAGTTCCCTGTCCAGGGTTTGAACATGGGCCTCCATCATTTGAGTTTCTTGATGCTGCTGTAGAATCAGTGAGTCTCTTCTTGCTGATTAATACTCACATACCTGCCTGTCCTTCCAGGTCATTCCTCCCCAGGTGAGCGTTGGAAGCTAAGTGCTTCTCAACTAAATCAGAAACCAAACTTTCCAAAATCTTCTAGCCACGACTAGGGGCTCAGAAATTCCTCAGTTGTTCCCCTCCCTTGCGGCCTGGGGCAGGGAGTCCCTTCCTTAAAGAAGGAAGTCTTGAACATCCTCAAGAAGGAAGTCTTGAGGCATCTGGGGACGTGCACAGCCACAAAAGGAAGCCTCCGTGGCCAACAGGGATGGTACGTGAGGCTCAGCATTTGCGATTTCTTCTTTCTCCTCCAGAAACTCTGCTCTGCTTCTCTTGGCAAAAATTCTGTTTATCTTCACAAATGTTCGGCCCTTGGTCTCAGGAATGACCACGTAGATGTAAACAGCAGTGAGGAGGCAGATTGCAGCAGAGATAATGAGGCTGTAGGCACCAGTGACCTCCTGGGCCAAGAGACAAGAACACAGGAGGGGATGGAGGAAGAAAGACATTCCAGGGCCAGCGCCAGGTGAGGCCTATGTGAGTCACACAGGAGTCTCTCAGTGGCTGGTTTCACTTCATTCCCCGGGAGTGGAATAGCTAGAAAATTAGATCCTGCCTCACGTCAGAAAGGACTCAGGCTTGTGACAACGGGGACAGTATGAACAGTATGACCTCTAGATCTGACTGCACACCCTCAGAATTGGGGGGTGGGGGTGGGGAGGTGGGGGATCTCCCCTGGCTCTAGCTTGCTTGAACTTGGCAGACCAGAGCCCCTACATACTTAACCCTTCACGGTCTGAGTGCCCGAGCTCCCTTTAGTAGGTGGGAAACTGGAGTAGGTTTGACTGAGATGGTGCCACCTTTGTTTTATGGACCTTGGAGAGCCGCCCCCTCTCTTGTCAAGTTAACAGATGTTTTTAGTAGAAGGGGGACCCCTGCCTATTTCCTGGAGTCCTATCTGCCTAGGGGCGGGGACCAGGTAGAGCAGGAAGTCAGGGCAAGGGGCCGTGCCCCCCACCCCCGTGCTCCCTGCAGGATACCTCCACTCAGCTGGACAGACTGGAACACGAAGCCCACAGTGCAGGTGGTGAGGCCCTGCACTGTGCCCCCCCACACACACCTCACCCCCCACACACACCGTCCACTGTGAAGGTAGGTGGCCGGCGAGGGCTACGGGAAGAGCTCAGAGAGGGTGGGACCTCGGGGCAGAGAGCTGGGCCAGTGGAGCAGACAGGGGTGCGGAGGGCCCTCAAAGGTGCCCAATGTTCTGGATGGCCAGGAGGGAGCTCCTGTCTCTCAACCCACTGCTTCCATCCCCCACCCCCACCGGCTTCTCCTGGGTACACTCACCACTGAGCTCCAAACTGAGCCTCTGAGGGCCTCAAGGTCACACCAATGCCATTCTCCCCCCGTGTTGGAATCATTTTGAAATTCGCCAACATGGAAGGGGGAAAGTGAAAGTGAAAGTCACACAGTCATGTCCACCTCTTTGCAACCACGTGGACTATAGGGCCCATGAAATTCTCCAGGCCATAACACTGTAGTGGGTTGCCATTCCCTTCTTCAGGGGATCTTCCCAACCCAGAGATTGAACCCAGATCTCCTGCATTGCAGGCAGATTCTTTACCTTCTGAGCGACTAGGGAAACTCAAAATCCCACTTAAATATCCTTGAACTCAACTCTGTCGGTCGGGTTCACAGCTGCCTGAGCATTCTCTGAATCAATACCTTTATTTTGGTTTATGGACAGCTCTTTCAAAACCAAGATTCTGCAGGGAATATTTAAGTCTTAGGAGTCAGAGGGGTCTTTCTCCAGGCAGCAAGAACTGTATCTGATTCTCAGGAGGACACAGAGAGGAGGGGGATTCTAGAGTCTGCCCACAAGCTAGGCGCAGGTGAAGGCCCAAGGCTGCCAGCATATGGACCCAGAGCTGAATCAATGAGGAACTGTAGCTGGAGGCCAGGGGGCCAAAGACAACTGAGCCTTGTGTGGGCAGTGGGCTTGGAGGTTAATATGAATGTGTAGGGTGTTTGGATGTGAACCGAGGGTCCCCCAGTGGCATCTGGCTGGAACAAGCTCCCTCTTTGCAGAGGCTCATCTCCTTGTTGGGCATTGGACCTGAAGCTTGGCACCTCTGGGAGTCACAGGAGATGGGGTGGCCCCAGCTTGGTCATGGTACTGGCTTGCACTTAGGAAATGTTTGTTGAATGAGTGAGTGTGAGCTGGAATGTCCTTTCAAGAAAAAGGTAAACTGAACTGAAAATTCCAGTGAGGGTGGGGCTTGTATAGGAACCGGGGAGAAGGTGGAGAGGACAAGATAGTATCACCAGTCATGAGCATTCATTCACTCAGCAAATACCAGACACCTCCTCTGTGCTGGGCCTGGAGGGCTTCTGGGCCCTGGAGGGCTGTGGGGCAGCAGGTCCTCACTGGGCCTGGTGCCCTGATGCAATGTCCCAGATGTAGGCAAAGATGCATACAACACCGAGATAAGACAGCTCTGTGGGGAGAGGAAGGGCTGTCTGTGCCTGAGAGGCCCAGGCCTGGGACCTCTGAGAGCTTGAGGCCAAGAGCCCATGTGCAGAAGAGCCCACCTGTGGGCCCCAGCTTCCTGCCACAGGAAGGAGCAACGCCTGGATTTCTGAGCACCTGCGTGGGCCTCCAGGGCTCTGAGGGCAACGCTGTGAATGGTACCCAGCATTCTAGTCGACAAGGGCTTCCATGAGCCATGCCTGTTTGAGAGAACAGGAGGAATGTTATCTAATCTCTGCCCTTATCACTTATCTAATCTCTGCCCTTCACAAACATCGGTGCTGCCTACGTGGCACCCGTAGTAAAGAATCTGCCTGTCAGTGCAGGAGATGCAAGAGACGTGGGTTCGATCCCTGGGTGGGGAAGATCCCCTGGAGCAGGAAGTAGCACCTGCTCCAGTATTCTTGCCTGAGGAACCTCATGGACAGAGGAGCCTGGAGGGCTACAGTCCAGGTCTACCTCCTTCAGTTCACTCCAGTCGCTCAGTCATGTCTGACTCTCCGCGACCCCATGAATCACAGCACACCAGGCCTCCCTGTCCATCACCAACTCCCAGAGTTTACTCAAACTCATGACCATTGAGTCGGTGATGCCATCCAGCCATCTCATCTTCTGTCGTCCCCTTCTCCTCCTGCCCCCAATCCCTCCCAGCATCAGGGTCTTTTCTAATCAGTCAACTCTTTGCATGAGGTGGCCAGAGTATTGGAGTTTCAGCCTCAGCATCAGTCCTTTCAATGAACACCCAGGACTGATCTCCTTTAGGATGGACTGGTTAGATCTCCTTGCAGTCCAAGGAACTCTCAAGAGTCTTCTCCAACACCACAGTTCAAAAGCATCAATTCTTCGGCACTCAGCTTTTTTCACAGTCCATCTCTCACATCCATACATGACCACTGGAAAAACCATAACCTTGACTAGATGGACCTTTGCTGGCAAAGTAATGTCTCTGCTTTTTAATATGCTATCTAGGTTGGTCATAACTTTCCTTCCAACGAGTAAGCGTCTTTTAATTTCTTGGCTGCAGTCACCATCTGCAGTGATTTTGGAGCCCCCCAAAATAAAGTGTGACACTGTTTACACTGTTTCCCCATCTATTTCCCATGAAGTGATGGTACCAGATGCCATGATCTTAGTTTTCTGAATGTTGAGCTTTAAGCCAACTTTTTCACTCACCTCTTTCACTTTCATCAAGAGGCTTTTTAGTTCCTCTTCACTTTCTGCCATAAGGGTGGTGTCATCTGCATATCTGAGGTTATTGATATTTCTCCCGGCAATCTTGATTCCAGCTTGTGCTTCTTTCAGCCCAGCGTTTCTCATGATGTATTCTGCATATAAATTAAATAAGCAGGGTGACAATATACAGCCTTGACATACTCCTTTTCCTATTTGGAACCAGTCTGTTGGTCCACGTCCAGTTCTAACTGTTGCTTACTGACCTGCATATAGATTTCTCAAGAGGCAGGTCAGGTGGTCTGGTATGCCCATCTCTTTCAAAATTTTCCACAGTTTATTGTGATCCACACAGTCAAAGGCTTTGGCATAGTCAAGAAAGCAGAAATAGATGTTTTTCTGGAACGCTGTTGCTTTTTCGATGATCCAGCAGATGTTGGCAATTTGATCTCTGGTTCCTCTGCCTTTTCTAAAACCAGCTTGAACATCTGGAAGTTCATGGTTCATGTATTGCTGAAACCTGGTTTGGAGAAGTTTGAGCATTACTTTACTAGCGTGTGAGATGAGTGCAATTGTGCAGTAGTTTGAACATTCTTTGGCATTGCCTTTCTTTGGGATTGGAATGAATACTGACCTTTTCCAGTCCTGTGGCCACTGATGAGTTTTCAAATTTGCTGGCATATTGAGTGCAACACTTTAACAGCATCATCTTTTAGGATTTGAAATAGCTCAACTGGAATTCCATCACTTCCACTAGCTTTGTTCGTAGTGATGCTTTCTAAGGCCCGCCTGACTTCACATAGCAGGATGTCTGGCTCTAGGTGAGTGATCACACCACAGTGATTATCTGGGTTGTGAAGATCTTTTTTGTACAGTTCTTCTTACGCAGTCGCAGAGTCAGACGTGACTGAGTGACTAAGTACACAAACATCACCATCTTCCCGACCCCCTCTGAGTGAGGCTGTTATAGTTTCAGTTCTGCAGCCATGGAATCAGAGCAGAGAGCCTGAACACAGACCGAGAGGACACTGGGTCCCTCAGGAAGTCAAGCAATGGCTCAAGTCAGATGATCAGCTGGCATGGAGCTGGGACCGGGACTCTGCCCCATCTGACGGGATCCTTCTAGAAGCCATTGGACCAGGAGAGAGACCCCCATCTCTCCCAGCTCTCCACTACTAGGGCAACAGATGGCACGAACTCAGGGTGAAGAGACTGCAACCCAACTAACCGAGCAGGTAACCCTTTCACTACAATTATGAAAAAGGCTGCAAGGGTGGGGTTGGCACAGGGCTAGCAATGGAGGTGGACTGCTCCTTCCATGAAGCTGTCTCTGAGCTGCAAGATAGGGGATGAGCTGAGGGAGGGGCAGCCTCCCGGAATGGATGACCTGGGGATGAAGAGCCAGCGGGGCTGCTGAGCGGAGGCTCTGATTCAACAGACACAATTGTGGGCGGAAGCGGGAGCAAGCAGGTGAGCAGGATGGCGTCCATTTCAAGACTTGAAGCAAAAGAGGAGTTGGCTGAGACTGGAGGGGCCATTCTGGGTCTGGTGCCATCTGGGCAGCTGCTGGATATGTTTTCAGGCAGAGCCAACAGGACTGGAAGATGAGAGGGAGAGAAAAGAAGACTCAGGGGACGTCACCGAGGGTTCCAAAAGCAGCTGGCAATTATCTCTGTAGATAAAGTCCGGTTTTATTTACTTCTTTTCACTTTCTAAAGTTCCTAAATGTTTTACTAGGAACTTAAATTGGTTTTAAAA